ACACGATTGATGGCCCTTCAGAGGTACCAACAGCCATGCCTCTAAAATGGTTGACTGAAAAACCAATATGGACCAAACAGTGGCCTTTAGCTGAGGAAAACTTACAGGCTTTAGAACAGCTGGTACAAGAGCAATTAGATGCTCGACAGATAGAAGAATCTACCAGCCCTTGGAATTCTCCTGTATTTGTTGTTAAGAAAAAATCTGGTAAATGGAGAATGGTGAGAGATCTTAGAGCTATCAACAAGGTTATTCAACCAATGGGCCCTCTGCAATCTGAAATTCCTCTGCCCTCCCTGTTACCAAAGGGATGGCCTCTTATAGTTATTGATCTGAAAGATTGTTTCTTCACTATACCTTTACAAGAAAAAGATAGAGAAAAGTTTGCCTTCATAGTGCCTACTTATAATAACTCTCAGCCTGTAAGGAGGTACCAGTGGATCGTCCTCCCATAGGGAATGTTAAACTCTCCCACTCTGTGCCAATATTTTGTAAGCCAACCATTAAAAATGATACGCAAACAATTTCCTAAGTCCATAATATTCCATTATATGGATGATATCCTGATCTCTGATCAAAACAAAGATACCTTAGAAAGGCTGTTTGAAGAAGTAAAAATAGTGTTACCTAAATGGGGATTTCAAATTGCTCCTAAAAAATTCAGAGGGGAGATTCTGTTAATTATTTAGGTTATAAAATAGGTTTACAAAGAATTAAGACACAAAAGGCACAAATCAGGAGAGACCGGTTACGAACTCTTAATGACTTTCAAAGATTATTATGAGACATCTCCAGCCTACGACCGGCTGTTGGGATAACACCTGATCTAATAATTCATTTAAACAAAACCTTGGATGGTGATAAAGACTTAAACAGTTCCAGAGAATTAACAGCTGAAGCATAAAAAGAACTGACAATGGTTGAAGAAAAATTACAGGAGGCTCATGTGGACAGGGTAAATCCAAAGCTTAGTTGTATTCTCGTCATATTGCCTTCCAGAATTTCTCCTACAGGAATCTTGATGCAAAGAGATGATATTATCTTGGAATGGATCTTTTTGCCACACAAACCAAGTAAAAAATTAAAAACTTATGTGGAAAAAGTCTCTAAATTGATTATAAAAGGAAAATTGAGACTTTGTCAATTAGCAAGTATAGACCCAGCAGAAATTATAGTGCCTTTCACTGCTAATGAGGTAAAAAAGTTGTGGGAAGACAATGAACCATGGCAAAGAGCTTGTACTAATTTTTTGGGAGAAATCAATAACAATTACCCAAAAAGCAAGAGACTTAATTTTATAAAGACAACTTCTTGGATCCTTCCTCAAATTGTCCGTGATGCTCCAATAACCGGAGCCCGTACATTTTATACTGATGCTAATAAATCAGGGAAAGCAGGTTACAAATCAGAAGAATTGAGTAAAGTGGAACAAAGTCCTTATGATTCTGTCCAGAAGGCAGAATTATATGCCATTTTTATGGTGCTTAGGGATTTTAAAGAACCTCTTAATATAATTACTGACTCACAACATGCAGAAAGAGTTATCTTGCATATTGAAACTGCTGAATTTATACCTGATGATACATAATTGACCTCATTGTTTATCCAGGTACAAGACATGATTAGGAATAGGCTTTGCCCTATGTATATAACACACATCCGATCCCATACGGGTCTGCCAGGTCCTCTAGCACACGGTAATGCAGATAATAATCAATTATTAATTGGTAGTGTGCTGCAGGAATCTGAATTTCTTAAAAAACATCATGTCAATAGCAAAGGCTTGAAAAAAGAGTTTTCTATTACATGGCAACAAGCTAAGAAGATTGTAAAGAAATGCCCTACTTGCTCTTTTTATAACCAAACACCATTGCCTGCAGGGACTAATCCAAAGGGTATTAAAAGGAATGAAATTTGGCAGATGGATGTGTTTCACTTTCCAGAATTTGGCAAATTAAAATATGTACATCACACCATTGACACATACTCAGGTTTCCAATGGGCAACTGCTTTAAGCTCAGAAAAAGCTGATTCAGTAATCACTCATTTATTAGAAGTTATGACCATCATGGGTATACCTATACAGATAAAGACGGATAATGGTCCAGCTTATGTTTCTAGGAAAATGACACGATTTTTTGCTTATTATAATATTAAGCATGTTACAGGTATACTATACAATCCTACAGGTCAAGCAGTTATAGAAAGATCAAATCGAACTATAAAAGATATGTTGAACAAACAGAAAGGGGTGGAAAATACCCCCAGGAATAGGTTACATAATGCTTTATTAACCTTGAATTTTCTCAATGCTAATGAGAAGCAGACAATGGCTGCAGAAAGACATTGGAAATTGGAAAAGACTGCTGTACTAAATCAACCAATTTATTTCAAGGATGTGCTGACCTCACAGTGGAAGCCAGGAGATGTGCTGCGTTGGGGAAGGGGTTTTGCTCTTGTTTCCACAGGAGAGGAAAAATTGTGGATACCATCAAAATTAATAAAGGTTCGGTTTGAAGAGGAGAAACCTCTTGGAAGAGATAAATGATAACTCACTTTAATGTGCATTTATTTATAAATATGTAGAGCTGGTTTTGGAGTTGGACAATGGCTCAGTCCCTCTTCATTTCCAAGCCTGTTGATAAGAGATATCCCAGAGTTTCTGTCTCATGTCAAGAGCCAAGATACGGGACAGAATAACTATAATTGATAAATTTTCTTTGCCTTTCCCCACATCTGTTTCTATCTTTATTAATATATATATATGTCTGTATATGTCTTCGTAGATAATGTTTAACTTTCCCATAACAAACAATAAATTTTCCTGCAGTAATCTTTAAAGCTTCTAGGATGAAGATGGGGCCCCACAACATCAACTCCACCTGGTTACTATGACGTCATAATGTTGATAGCGCTATTTTTTAGACCTGTTTTTTGGTACCAGCTACACAAAACAGTTCCATATGATGCACAATATTTGACAACACTCTGGCAAGACCTCCTCAACTTATTCAGAGACTATTTACAACTCTCTCCCACCAAATGTTTATATGGAAATTTTACCATCAATTATTTTCACAGGACCCCCTAAGAGAAATGTTGCCCCCGTAACAGCTGGAAGCAATTTTAGAGGACGACGTCCCCTCTCCCAGTAGAATTTGCCCTCAGGTTTAGGGACACCATTTAGGGGTTGTTTATAGTTGATATAGGGATGAGGGAATAGGGGAGGTATTTGTACGCTCAGGGGTGTTTATCAAAAAAAAGGGGGGGAATTGATTGGTGATGGGATAATAATATATTGGTATTTGTGAGTTATTGTTTTTAGAAAATTGTATTGGTGTTGATTTTTGTACATTGATATATTGAATATTGTATGTGAGTATGCTTCTACCTCTATTTGTATTAATATATATATACATATATTTACATTCCTACCTCTGATTAAGATATTTATGTACATTGTTTACATTTGGAGGTCATTGTCCTCACTCATTGCACAGTTGTTCATTCTCTTAGTCTTCAAGTTAGATAGATAGAAATCCATAGTCATACATGTTTATTATATTTATATTTAGGCTAATCAGGTTATTTAGATGCATAGAGATTATACTTAGTATAGAAAGTATAATCTTCAACCTCTTCGAAGAGCTGTGGAAAATGGCCTTTAATCTAACTCATAGTTCTATAGTAGTGAGACACAATCGCTCCTGGCATCACCGCTCTACTCCGAGAGAACGTTGAGCACCAAAGACACTTCACATGGAGCTTGTCTTCTTCCTGGCAGAACTGGCCTTTGGGTAAAGAAAAAGCCCATACCTCAACCACTGACAGAATTACAGAATATCCTAAATGGATAAAAGCAGGATTGTTTTATCTTGCCAAGACAGGGTGAGAGAGTCCTAAAAGGTTTCTTGCCTTTGAAAAATGGCATGTCAGTTACATCAGGCCTTAGCCAAAGTTGGTTAACTCAACACTGCATACGAGACTTTGGGTGATTGCCCAGGTATTCAGTTGTCTCTTCCATTCGTTGCACATTTCAGAAGTTTCCTGCTTGTACTTCCAGGCTGCTTGAGTAAAATTATTTCCCTTCTCAGATCTTTGATGGAGTTGAAGATTAGATAGTTGTAGTTACCATCTACATTATTTAGACTCCCTGAGATAGAAAGTTTAGCAGAACTTTTGTTATATGTTTCTTGCTTAACATTGTTTGTTGTTTGTAACTTTATATTTATTATTTGCTTCTATTGTATATAGTGGTATTTGGTTTGGTTCTGTCTTATTTTAGAAAAAAGGGGGAGATGATAGGAGAGTTCAGCCAATCACATTCTGTCTTTGGGGCGTGCTGCCCTCAGGCTAAAGCCTGCCTATAAACCTAGCAAGCGTGCTCCGCTAGCTCTCTCTTTCGCCTGGCTCCTACGCCTGGACGGATTGTTTAAATTCTGGTGTAAGCTGTTGTAAGTCTTACTTCTGTTTATTAAGAAGTAACATTTTGTATTAAGATAGTCTGGGGATTTTTCATTACCAATCGCCCTGTGGCATCACTCAGTAAGTTAGGTCTTTGTATGATCATGTAATATATGATTTAAAAATGGAATAATTAAATGAAGGGATAATCAACTTAACCAAAATTGACATACTTTTAAGTATCTTTTTGATAATCCTTGTTGTCATTTTGATAATTTTTGGTTTATCACTTAAAAAGGTGTTTGGTATGAGTGCCAAGTTATAAGCCTTAGAAAAACTTATTAAAACAGATCATAGACATATTCAAATCCAGACAGAGGAAGTTAAAGGAAAACCAATTTCAATTTTGCATTATAAGAATAAAGAGAAACAGCCTAATGCTTTCAAAAAACCAACCTTAATATACCCAGTAACCTTATAGGAATTGACAAATGATAGATATCCCCAAGACTCTGTGTGAGCTGAATGGAGTCCTGTGGCAATGTTAGATTTAAGGAGATTTGACAAAGTGATAGTCTCATATGGTATACATTCACCTTTTGTGAAGCAGATGTTAAACTCATGGTCAACTTGTAATAGGATTACTCTTCAAGACTGTAGAGACTTGGTTACAGCAAACTTGGAGCCTGGTCCACAATTACAGTGGAAGACCTGGTGGGAAAAAGCTAAGACCATTGAAAAACAGAGTAGAGATAGAGGTATGAAAATCTCCCAAGACCAACTTATGCAACTATAGAAATGCAATCCCTATATGATGGTCACATCCTGGCTTTATGCTGTGCAGCAGCTTTGAATGCTTGGGACAGAATTGAAGAAGTAGGAAAGAAGATCGAGTCATTTACTAAAGCCATACAGGGCCCAAAAGAAACCTTCACTGAACCTTCACTGATATCATACAAAGATTGACACCAGTAGTAAACAGAATGATAACAAATTCAGAAGCTAGAAAAGTAATGATCGCATCTCTGACCTTTGAAAATGCTAATTCTCAATGTAAAAGTGTAACATGTGGGGCCGGCTTGTTGGGGTATCTGTCCTGCCCAGTACCCCACAACCGGAAAGTCCCAGAGAAAATCAATCACACAGAGATCTCTGTAAGTTATAAAGCTGATTGGCCCATTAGCTCAGGCTTCTTGTTAACTCTTATAGCTTATATTAACCCATTATTCTGATCTATGTTAGCCATATGGCTTGGTACCTTTCCCAGTGGGGCAACTTACATCTTTCCTCTCCGGTGGTCTGGGCAGAACTGGCGGAGGGAGTTTCCTGTTTTCCCAGAATACTCCCAGTCTCTTTGTTCCACCCCTACTTCCTGTCTGGCTTTCCCGCCTATACTGCCTGCCTGGCCAATCAGCATTTTATTAAAATATGATTGACAGAATATAGACAATTCTCCCACACTATTTCCCTCTTTATTTTTTAAACAAAGGAAATACCCATAGTTCATTTGTTGGCAATGTGGGCATAGTATTTCAGGCTACTTACTGCTGGTTGGGGGCACTGATGATCTTATGGGGACCTAAAGAAAATTTAGAGTTATAATCAAGTCCTGACTGGAGTATCCTGTGAGTCTTGATCATCTCAGGCAGCAGTCTTGAATAATTGGGCCATTAAAGGCAAGATTAGCATCCTTGAAGGAATGGATCCAAGATAGCATCAATACTGAATCTCATTACTATAATGATGCTTGTATAGGAGAGGAGATTTTCAGAACTTTGAGGAAAAGTTGAAATGTCAAGTGTTAAAAGGGATTGTAGACAGAGTGTTCCCAGAAACAATGTTTTTCTAAGAATGATCCATTCAGAATGCCCCTACCTTCAGGATTATGCAGAAGGGGTGGCAAAGGCAGGTATTGGAATAATGAATATAGATCAACAAGGGACATTCAAGGTAATCCTTTGCCATTGGGTAACACCTTGAGGGGCCTCTCACAGCCCCTATGCCAAATCTGGTTCAGTTGATTCCTGTCATCATAGAGGAAACTTCTTCCCAGGGAAATTAAAGAACCTAGTGCCTATTGTAAGAAACCATACTGCTCTGCATGACAGAATAGCTAGAGAAGAGAGAACAAAAAATTCAGGAAAAATCATAAAGTCAATATTTTGGCAAACTTCTATAAATGAACAAATACCAAAATTAAAAATACAAATAAATAGCATTGTCATTGAAGGTCTTATTGACATGAGTGCAGATGTGACAATAATGACTTCAGAACAGCTGGTACAGGAGCAACTAGATGCTCAGCATATTGAAAAGTCAGCCAGCCTTGTATTTGCTGTTAAAAGAAATCTAGAAAATGGAGAAAGGTAACAGATCTAAGAGCTGTTAATAAGGTGATTCAGCCAATGGGCTCTCTACAGTCTGGCATTCCTTTGTCTTCTCTATTGCCTAAAGGATGGCCTCTTATAGTTATTGATTTAAAGGATTATTTCTTCACCATATATTTACAAGAAAAAGACAGAGAAAAATTTGCCTTCACAATGTCTATTTACACTAATTCTCAGTCTGAATCTAGAGTTTATCATTACATGATGACATTTTACCATCTGTTTCAAATGCAGATACTTGAGAAAGGAGGTTTGAAGAAGAAAATTTTGCCTTGTTGGAGATTACAAATTGCTCCTGGAAAAATACAAAGAGGAGACTCTATCTATTAATTATTTAGGGCATAAAATAGGTTTACAAAACACTTAGACCCCAAAAGATGCTAATTAGGAGAGCTAAAGTTTGCACTCTCAATGACTTTCAAAGATTGCTAGGAGACATTTCCTATCTATGGCCCCCTATTGGGATAAAACCTGATGAACTAAGAAATTTGAACATAACCTTAGATAGTGACAAGAACTTACATAGCCCCAGGGAATTATCAGCTGAAGCTGAGAGAGAATTGGCTTTGGTGGAAGAGAAATTACAGAAGGCACATGTGGATCATGTGGATCTGAATCTTAACTGCATTGTGGTCATATTACCCTCGAAGCATTCTCCCACAGGAATTTTAACACAGAGGGAAGATATTATCTTAGAATGGATCTTTTTACCATATAAACAGAGTAAAAAAAATAAAGATGTCTTTAATATGTATGTGGAAAAGGTCTCTAAGTTAATTCTAAAAGGAAAATTGAGACTTCATCAATTAGAAGAAATAGACCCAGCAGAAATTATAGTGCCTTTTAATAATGATGAAACTGACAAATTATAGGAGAAAGTAAACCCTGGCAAAGAGCTTGCAGCAATTTTTGGAGAGATTAACAACAAATATCCCAAAAGCAAGAGAATTCAACTTATAAAGAGAACTAACTGGGTCCTTCCTCACATTATACGGGACACACCAATATCTGTAGCCCCTACATTCTATACTGATGCAAATAAATAAGGAAACACAAGTTAAAAATCAGAAAATTTAAGTGAATCTAAGCCCTTATGATTTTGTCCAAAAGTCATACTTATATGATATTTTCATGGTACTAATATATTTTAAGGAACCTCTCAACATAGTTACTGATTTGCAATATTCCAAAAGAGTTGTTTTGCATATTGAAAATGCTAAATTATAGCAAATGATACAGAATTGACTTTACTATTTATTCAGTCACAAGAAATAATCAGGAATAGGCTTCGTCCCATAAACATAACACACATCTGACCCCATATGGTTCTGTCAGGTCTTCTAGCTCGAGGTAGTGCAGAAAGCAATCAATTATTGATTAGAAATGTGCTGGAGGCCTCAATTCATAAAAACATCATGACAATAACAAAAGTTTAAAAAAGGCTTTTCAGTTACATGGTAACAAGCCAAGGAAATTATAAGGAAAATGTCCTACTTGTTCTTTATACAATCAAACACACTACCTACAGGAAGTAACGCAAAGGATACTCAAAGGAGTGAAATCTGGCAGATGGATGTGTTCCATTTTGTAGAATTTGGAAAATTAAAATATGTACACCACACCAATGATACTTATTTACCTTTTCAGTGTACAACTGCCTTGAGTTTGGGAAAAGACTGATTCAGTAATCACACATTTGTTGGAAGTCATGGCCATTATGGAAATACCTGCACAAATTAAGATTGACAATGTTCTAGCATATGTCTCTAAGAAAACAGTTTTTTGCTTATTATAATACAAAGCATATTACAAGTATACCACACAATCTGACAGGCCACGCAGTTATAGAAAGATCAAATTGGACTCTAAAAGATATATTAAATAAACAGAAAAGGATAATAAAGACCCCCCAGAAATAGATTGCATAATATTTTATTAACTTTGAATTTCTTTTTTTTAAGTTTGTTTATTATGTATATAGTGTTCTGGGCACCATATCTCATTATAGATGGGTGTGAGCCATCATGTGGTTGCTGGGAACTGAACTCAGGACCTCTGGAACAGCAGTCAGCTCTCTTAACCTCTGAGCCATCTCTCCAGCCCCAACTTTGAATTTTCTAAATGCTAATGAGAAAGGAATGACAGCTGCAGAGAGGCATTGAATAATAGAAAAAACTTCTGAATTAAATCAGCCTGTATACTTTAAAGATGTACTTACCTCAGAATGGAAACTAGGACATGTGTTATATTGGGAAAGGGGCCTCACTTTTGTTTCCACAGGAGAAGAAAAGCTATGGATATCATTAAAATTGATAAAAAAAAATCCATTTGAACAAGAAACACCTCTTAATTAGAAGAGATAATAGTTCATCAAACAGCATGAACATTTAATCTAAACTAACATATAAAACTAACAAATGCTTTTCATTTGATCAGATATAACTTGCCAAAGGGAATCTCCCCAAAATTAGGGTTGGGGAAGGGTTCTGCTTCTGTCCTTTCAGGAGAATAAATAGCACCCAGCTAAGGAATCTGAAGACCACTGGACAAATGAGACAAATGAAGAAAAAGGACAGATCATCCAGAATAAAAACTGCCAAGAGTAAACTGGCCTATGATGTGGTATTCCCCTTTGTATGCTGTGAATACCATTGATGAATAAAGAAACTGTTGTAGGGGACTGGTAGTTCCTGCTAGTTTGTCCCTAACACCCAGCTAGCTTACACCCAAAATAACCACAAAGAAATTGTATTAATTAATCACTGCTTGGCCCATAAGCTCTAGCCTCTTATCGGCTAACTCTCATATCTTAATTTAACCCATTTTTAGTAATCTGTGTATCGCCATGTAGCAGTGGCTTACCAGGTAAAGTTCTAACTGGCGTCTGTCTCAGGCAGAGGATCCATGGCATCTCTCCTGGCTCTGCTTTCTTCCTCCCAGAATTTAGTTCTGTCTTCTCTGCCTATATAAGTTCTGCCCTATTAGGCCAAGGTAGTTTCTTTATTCATTAACCAATACAAGCAACACATAGAAAGAAGGACCTCCTACACCAAGAAACTGCCTTGGCCTGTTGATATGACAGAACTTAGGTAGGTGAGGAAAACTAAACTGAATGCTAGAAGGAGGAGTAGAGAGAAGCCAAAGGAGCCTCTGCCAGAGAGAGACATGTTGAAACTTTGCTGGTAGGCCACAACCTCATAGTGATGCACAGATTAATGGAGATGGGTTAGATTAAGATATAAGAGCTAGCCAATAAGAAGCTAGAGCTAATGGCTAAGCAGTGATTTAAATAATATAGTTTCTGTGTGATTATTTTGGGACTGAGCAGCTGGGAGCCAATAAGCAGCCTTCCTCCAACAGGCTTATTGTTTTCTACAGTGAACCATGACCATGCCTAACAGTGACCTGTGAAGTCTCCAAAAGGAGAATGGGGCAGCACAACAACGTTTTCATCAGGACAAAGATAACACTGCTAAGCTGAAAAGCACCACCTAAAGATCAGCTTTGAACTACAAACTGTTCAGGAAAATTTCAACTTGGCTGAGATGATCCAGCCTCGCAGACTACTCTAGCCAGCACTTGATACAAGCCCTGCACTTTCCCATTACACAGAGACTGGACAACAAATGACACAGCTACCTCTCCCAGGACTTGACAATTAACCCAAATTTTTCTTTTCAGGACCCCTAAAGATGTCGTTGCCCCCCCCCCAGACAGAAGGAAGTAAATTTAAGAACACGATGCCCAATTTCCAAGAGGTGGGGTGTGTGGGTTTTAGTCATTCGTTGGGTTATGGATATTTGTCATTGTTTATGGGTATTGGTTACAGGTTGTTATTGGTAATGGTCAGGAAAAAAGCTAAACAAAGGAGACTAGATTCAAGGTTCTTGTTTTAAAAAAAAGAGGGATATAGATATGATAGGATAAAAGGGTAAATTATTGAATCTACTCTGAAAAGAAAAAGGGGAGAATATAGATATGATAATATAAAAAAGTATATTATTGAGTCTACTTTTAAAAAGCAACTACAAGTTTTAAAAATTTTACATTGATATGGATTTTTGTATGTTGGTACAAATTTAAGATTTTTGATGTTAAAACATACTATATATACATTTCTAATCTTGTTCAAGGTATTGTACCAATACAGCTCATTTAACAACGTAACACAAATTTCTAGTCCTTGAAAATTATTATTACCAACTAATTAGGATATAAAGAAATGATAGTAATCATTACAGTCAAACTTGTAGTCAGATTAGGTATGTTTTCAAGGTCAAACAGAGGTATATTTTAAATAGACAGGTTGTCTTCAAATACTTCCCAGATCTACAGAGTATGGCATTTAAGATGTTTTAATAACATAGACTCTTTTCTTTTTTTATTACAATGAGACATGTCTGCTCCTGGCAACATCAATCTACTTCAGAGAAGAAGATGGGCATCAAAAAAACTCCATATGGCGTTTACTTTCTTTGTGGCAAAAGGTATCCACTGGGCAAGAAAATCCTCTTGTCTTGACTGTTGACAGTACACTGTCCAAATTGGACAAACAGGACAGAAAAGAAAGTGAATACCAAACTTTCCCAAGACAAGCTAGGATAGCTCTTCAGAATATCCTGATTCTAAAATATATTGTAATAACTCTAACCAAACAAATGGAAGACATGCATAATAAGAAATTTAAAGAAAGAAATTGGAGAAGACACTAGAAAATGGAAAGATCTCCCATGCTGTTGGGAAGGTAGAATTAACATAGTAAAAATGGCAATCTTACCAAAAGCAATCTACAGATTTAATGCAATGTCCAGCAAAATTCTTCATAGACCTCGAGAGAACAATACTCAACTTCATATGGAAAAGCAAAAAACCCAGGATAGCCAAAACAATCCTGTACAATAAAGAAACATCTGGAGGCATTACCATCCCTGACTTCAAACTCAACTACAGAGCTACAGTAATGAGAACAGCCTGGTATTGGCCTAAAAACAGACAGGAGGACCAAGGAAACCTAACTGAAGACCCGGATATTAATCCACACACCTACAAACACCTGACAAAGAAGGAAAAAATATAAAGTGGAAAAAAAGAAAGCATATACAACAAATATGGTGCTGGCATAACTGGATATCAACATGTAGAAAAATGAAAATAGATCCATATCTTTCATCATCATCATAAAACTCAAGTCCAAATGAATCAAAGACCTCAACATAGAACCAACCACACTGAACCTCATAAAGAGAAAATAGGAAGTACACTTGAACACATTGGCACAGGAGACCACTTCCTAAATATAACTCCAGTAGCACAGACACTGAGAGAAACAATTAATAAATGGGACCTTCTGAAATTGAGAAGCCTCTGTAAAACAAAGGGCACAGTCAACAAGACAAAATGGCAGCCTATAGAATGGGAAAAGATCTTCACTAACCCCATATTGGACAGAGGGCTGAACTCCAAAATATACAAAGAACTCAAGAAACCTGTCATCAAAAGAACAAATAATCCAATAAAAAATGGGGTACAGACTTCAACAGAGAACTCACAACAGAGGATTCTAAAATGACTGAAAGACACTTAAGGAAATGTTCAACATCCTTAGCCATCAGAGAAACGCAAATCAAAACAACTCTGAGATCCCATCTTACACCCATAAGAATGGCCAAGATCGAAAACAATGTTGACAGCTTATTATGGAGAGGATTGGGGTAAAGGAACACTCCTCCAATTGCTGGTGGGAATGCAAGCTGGTACAGCCCCTTTGGATATCAGTGTGGCGATTTCACAGAAAATTAGGAAACAACCTTCCTCAAGACCCAGCAATACCACCTTTGGGTATATATACAAAGGATGCTCAACCTTGTCACAAAGACATGTGCTCAACTATGTTCATAGCAGCTTTGATTGTCATAGTCAGAACCGGGAAACAACCTACATGCCCCTCAACTGAAGAATGGATAAGGAAAATGTGGTACATAGACACAATGGAGTACTATACAGCAGAAAAAAATAACGACATCTTGAAATTTGCAGGCAAGTGGATGGATCTAGAGAACATCATATTGAGTGAGGTAACCCAGACCCAGAAAGACAAATATATGTACTCACTCATAAATGGCTTTTAGACATAAATCAAAGAAAACCAGTCTATAATTCACAATCCATAGACAACAAAGAATACCCTAAGAGAGACATACATGGATCTAATTTACATGGGAAGTAGAAAAAAGACAAGATCTCCTGAGTAAATTGGGACATGGGGACCATGGGAGAGGGCAGAAGGAGACAGGAGAGAAAGGGAGGAGAGTGGAAAAAATATATAGCTCAATAAAAACAATTTAAAAAATAATAAAAGTATCAAAAAAGATGAATGTAGGGTATACCTTTCTAATCCCAGAACTTGAGAGACTGAGATAGTAGGATTGCAAGTTCAAGGTCTGCCTTGGCTACACAACAAGTTTTAGACCTTGTGTTACAGGAGACCCTGTCTTAAAACAAACCAAAATAAAACAAACAAAAATTGCACTAATGACCTTTGAGTTCTTGAGTAGCTTTCTCAATCACTCTCTATTTTAAGAAACTTTGTGTATGTGTGTACATGTAGAAGACAGAGAACAACTTTGAAGAACCAATTCTCTCAATCTTTATGTGGATTCTTGGGTTCTTACCTGCTGAGACACCTTGCTAGCTCTCCATTTTATATTTTGAGATGAGATCTCTCACT